TAGTGAATAAAATAAAAAAAAAACTACCCGATATGGCCGGAATTGCGGGAGGTAGTATGATCTAAGTAAAAATTTTTTTTTGTTGCATTACTTATGATCGCCAGTGTAAGACTTACGACCTTTTTTTTCAAATATTTGTGATAAGCTTTTCAGAGTCTCTTTAATATGAAGAAACAATAACTCATTAAAGTTTGTCATTTTCTTTTTCATTTTTTACATTTTGTTTTGTATACGTATCCGAATGATTATCAGTAAATGAGACTGATTACGATAACTTGTTAATTTTTTGTAAAAACAAATAAGCCATGTATTTAAGATAAAACAAACATTGGAAACATGAACAAAGATTATTACTGAATATTGCATACGTCTTTTGAATTTACTTGAATTCTAGAACTATTACATCGCAAATTGACTTATAATTCATTTGCATGCATCTATGTCATGTAAATGACATGTAAATTCATCCCCTGGCCAACCCAATCTATTTAACTTTTTCATGTACTTATTTCTACTAGACATATATCTATTTAATTTAGGTAATTGAATATTATCCTATTTAATCTTAAATGTCAAAACAAAACGTAAAATAACAGTTTCTAAAATAAGTACATGGAGGTTATATTACAAATATGGCAGGGGATAAATCAGTTATATCCCGGGCAGTTGGATAGAAGCGAAATTTTGCAATAAAGTATAATCGACCGCTTACGCAGCCGATTATACTTACTGCAAAATTCCACTTATACCCAATTGCCCATGATATAACTATTACGAATTATCTGGTTACTTGGTGTATTCTAAACAATCCAATTTGCAAACCACTAATACTAATAAGTCATGAATTTCAGGTAAATGAAACACCACTTTGGAATTAAGGTAGATAAACTGAACAATTCATTTGATAAATTTTACGTTGGCATACATTCGACTATATCAATCAGATAACGCGAATTACATAATAGTATCAAAGTTTATTTTTTAAGAGAAATTCACATTTATAAAGTACATTAAAAAAGTCGAATAACTATATTATCATACGACCTTACCAAAGCAGTTTTCCGAATTATCGATAATGGGTTATACTATTGAGTTCAATCTATTAAAATTTTTAACCTAGGATTTATTACAATTAGCATTAAAAAAATAATGGGTCAAAGGATTATTTCTCCTACTCGACATCACACAGGATGACAATTTGCTAAAAATATATACCTGCTACTAATCAGATGCTAATCGTAAGCATATTTATATCAGGTAAAGTGGCTTGTAGAGAAATAACTTTCAGGAAATTGAGCGATAACGTAGTCAAATTAATATTATCAAAACGTATCCAGAAAATTATGTTAATATTAATAATACGACAACGACAATACTAAAAGTTTTGGGTTCTTGATGTCGAATATTTGATTTTGATTTCAATAAACTGTTTTTGTACAATTTTTGTACGATGCGAAAAATTTTCGTTAACGATAAATATATAATAAATATAAAGTACTGTATATGTAAGAGAAGTGATTTACGATACTTAGCCAAAAATAAAAACCTGTTAACTATTATAGGCCTATAAGCATGTACGTACGTAAATACGTCATCAAACTTTATTTCAGAATTCAAATTTTATTGGATAAACAATTTTTATATATCGATACCAGTTTCATCTGTCTTTAAATAATTTTGTACAGTACATTATGGAAATTTTTCTTTTAATAACTTAAAAAATTTTTTTTTGTATTCAGAGTATTTATTTTCGAACACATAAATTTACGTCATGCTAATATTTTAGAGCTAAAAATTTAGTTTGCACCACTGAGAAAAGTTATTTTTTAGTTTTACATATTTACTAATACGTGCATGTAAATAAATCTGTACATAAATGCAAAAACACGTTGAAACTTATTACGTTTATAGAGATGTAATCGTTTTAGGTTTCTTTCTGAAAAAAAAAGGAAAAAAAGAAATAGTGATATTATTAATAATCTGTTAATGTTCTTATATAGTTAAATTTTTTCCCTTAAATTAATCGAGATGATCAATTTTCTGTCTCACTTTTCACTCTTGATTCTTTTCATTTGAAAAAGTTAAAAAATAATTATCAACAAAATTTCTATTAAACACTAGTCTTGAAAAATAATTATCAACAAAATTTTCTATTATTCTTATACACTAGTTTATACACTAGTCCTGAAATAAAATGGCTGATACAACCGATTTTGATGGTCTTGGTATAATAACATCATCTTCGAAACAACCAATAGATGATATTAATTATGCAAAATCTCTAACTGTATCGGGATTGAAAAAACAATTACTTTATCAACTAAACGAAAATGCAAATCAAATACAGATGATCTCTGATTTGAATACCGCTTTCGTAAAGCAACAATCTGAATTATTAAGTAGAATACGAGAACTTGATTTGATAGAAGGTGATGAAATTTCTCAAGAACTAAACGACAAGCTAACCGAATTTGAGAAGGGTTCCAAAGCTTTGAACGAAACTATAGTAAATGTTTTAAAGGAGTTTTTAATGACGCCTGTAAGTAAATTTTATCTTTCTCTGTTTCGGATTATGTCATAAATTCAAAATCTGATAATCTTAGATACTGTATATATTTATTTTTATTAGGCAGGTGATACTTCAACCTCGACAACAGAAATGACTGATATAACACAAATTTTGACTGTAGAAATTAGGCACTTACAAGCTCAGTTACAGGAGAAAGATCAACGAATAAAGAAACTCGAGAGGAGTAAAGCCAAATTAAATCGTTTCAGTGAACAACTTAATAAAACACTACAAACGCATCAAGAATATGAAAGTATGTTTATTTTATTTTCTTAATTGAGCATGAATTATAGACATTTATTAAATCATAAATTGATCGTTATTAATGTAACAGAGCAGTTTAAAGAGGAAAATCCAACTCCGAATTTTTATGGTCCGAAAGTTCGTCATGAAAAAAATATGATAAATAACCCGAGAAATATATCAACGTTCAATAAAGAAAAACTCTTGAGAACTCAATCAGAGATTTCTGTATGTTCTTCCAGAATCAAGAATGACCAAACTCCTCAAAATCCAGATCCAAATATTATCCATATGATTGCTAAAACATTGATCGGTGATTACTTGTGGAAATATACCAGAAATAATTTTTGGTCAAGGAAACGTCATAAAAGATTCTTTTGGATTCATCCTTATACTAATATCTTATACTGGAGTAAAGAGAATCCTGCCACCTATGAGTTTGACAGTCTAAATTTAAAGAAAAAAGTGTCGTATTTCAGTATGTACTATTTGATTATATTTTCATCATTTAATTCATTTAGTTTATTATTTAACTAATGTTATACTAACGTTGTCTAATGTTATTACTTGATTATTATAACGTAGCTTACATAGATTATGTTCGAGAAATTATTAACGATGATTATTCATCCCCGGATTTATATCATACGAGTTTAGTCATTACAACTCCAGAAGGCGATATGGAAATCACAACTCAAACTAAAGAACAACATGAATGTTGGTTCCAGGTTAGTTCTCTTTACCTGTAATAATAATATATATAATAATAATGTTTTTTATGATGTCGTGTATGATATAATTTTATATACGTATAATATTATATATTGTAATATATTCTGTATATACTTTTATTCTGTATTAGGCTTTAAGATATTTACATCAGAGATCTGCCGATGCTGGTTTAAATCAAATTCCGACTTCACTTTCTGTAGAACTTCTTAATAACGATTCAGATTATTTTTGTGATGACGACGGTGATAGTGATGATTTAAAAAATATGCGTCAATGTTGCAATGGCCGTCATGATATTAGTAAACTTGAGCGTGCTCCTAATCATAATAGATTCATTCTATAATCATTTTTTTTCTCTTTTCTTGTATGTAAATTCTTTTTTTAACAATTCTTTTGTGTTAAATAGTTTAATTCATTTTATTTTATGTCTGCATCAATTTTCTTTTGAATCCTTTACTAAATCGATCAAAAAAACACTTAAGATCGTATCTACCTGTACTAATGGTTTTTCTTATTATATTAAAAACATTCATTTTTTCTCATCAATAAATGCGTATTAAATTTACTTACATAAAGCAAGACCTTTCTTTGTCTACAACATTCAAATGCATTTATATTTTGCATTATTTAGAAAATTTTACAAATTAGGCGTTAAGCATTTTTATTTAATAATAAAGTTGTTGGTTGTGTTTAATGCTCCGAAATGGTCATTTGGGTAGTTGACCGGATCAGTCCATACGTGACCAGAACAAAATCAAAGTTTGTACTAAATTTTTATCTGAATTTTACCAATTAATTTATACTATTCTTTAGCATATTATAATTTATATGAAGCTTTATTTCCACCAAGAATTTAGACACAGGCATAAACGAATACTATCTGTTCCAAGACTATTTTATCATGCATTAGAGCCGATATAATCTCTAACCATCTCGAATCCGAGCAGTGTGATGTATTTTAAAAATCATGTTACTGATTGTTTAGGAGCACAAGTTGCGTGACCCATATCTACTCATAAAGTCCTTTTAATTTTTACAACGTAGTACTACGTACTTAATATAAATTTAGGATATATTATTTTATCAAATATATTACATTCAACATTTTAATGAAATTAACTTTTTAACGCAATATATAGTTCTTTGTATTTTAAAATGTCAAATAACAAAACAACTCGTCAAATATAATTACTCGAATCACAAAGGCTTTTAATAGACTAAAGTCCATTGATTGTCAGAACTCAAAAGATATACTTTAGTATGGTTATTATTACAAATATGGGATAAAAGTTAAAAAGAATAAAAATAAAGCATTTGCTTATTGCAAAAATGAATAATCCTCGTGGAATACCAATACTGTTAGGAATTGCATTTGAAATCAGCTGAGGCAGGTAATTCTGAGAATTTGTAACACTGTTATTTTTATAATACCGAATTGGTGTGTGCTAACAAGTTCGATAAGTGGACTTATTTTTTATTATCCACTGTGGTGGCTGAAGCTGACATCTGGGCCTATTTTTATATGAAAATTTAAAAAATTTTTGGGGTGTTTTTTCCGCTTTTTTTTTAGGGTTGGATTAGGATTTAAGATTATAATGGATAATTAAAAGGCATATGTGAAGCATATGTGGATTTTAATAGAGCTTATATTTTCAAATCAAGGCCCCAGATTTCAACATTCAAAAATTCTTAAAATTAGAAATTCTCAATACTATTTAATTTTTTTAGAAAGTAAAGTCGTGACTGATGTTGGCACCCGACTGATGTTGCAACTTCAGTTGACTGAGGTTACATCTACCTAAGATTGCTAATTAATGAGTGCATTATCTAATTTCAGAGACTCATTTAATTCAAGTGAAATTTCGGTAAACTGAAATTGCAACTTCAGTCAGGTGCTAACTTTAGTTATGTCATATTAATATTTTCTGATCCATTAGACTGAATTAATTTTACCACCATTAAACCAAAAAATTGACCTTTACAATTTTCCAACTTCACTTTGTCGTGACGTGGCATGTTGCGTTATAATAAATTTTATAATAAACTGCCAATTTATCTACATTTTAATATTTGTTTACCATTAACTTTAATAGCCACGATACACATATTATGAGGCTTAAGACGTGGCTTTATTTTATCAATAAAGAAAATGACATTTCATCAAACAATGGCTAGAGATGAAACCGCCCAAATTTTTTCTAGTTAACTATTCTCTGTGTTAACCACTTACTCCAATCAGCATTGATATAAATTTGGTCCAAGACCATCGCTTAAACGTCTCCAATTCTTAACTATGGCACAGCCTTAAGGCTTTGTCTTTACCAGTGGCTTTGCCTTTCATGAAGGCTTTAACTTTTATAAGAAATTTGGAAGTTTTGTTTTTATCGAAGTCTCGATTTCACATGTTTCGTAAGTTTTGACTTTCGTCATTTCACTAAAATGGGTTTGTCTAACAACACTAGTTTAATTGTTTTGGAGTACGATGTATTGCAACTGAAGTGATTCTATTTCTTTAAATTTACGTGCTCTTTGTAATCAATGCACAAAAAATTTGTCGATTGACAATATAAAAATTCTTTTAAAACTAATATTTGCCCATGAATAATTTTCTTTCAACTTACAGCAGCACCTTTTGTAGATGAATCTTATTCATCTGATCAAGATTTATACGATGCTCTTATTAACACGTTTTTTCCAATTGCTTTTGTCTTTTTGTTTAGTGTAAAAGAAAAAGAAAACTCTATTAGAAATACGTTATTGCCACTACTAGATGACTTATTGTATAATTTTATCGCTTGGGGAATTCCATTAATTGTCTCTTTTGCCTATGACGACATATTAATTATAAAGATATTTTCAATCATAAACATGTGTTTACATATGATTTGCGCTGTATCTGCAATAATTAAACCTAAAAGGCTCAAAGATAACCCTTCTAGTTATTACTCCTATTTCTTGATATTTTGGCCTGTAATAGTTATTCCAATATTTTGGATTATTATTATTATTAATAGAAATGGTTTTGAGCCAACCAGTTCAGTATTTATTACACTATTTGAATCATTGCTAGCTATTGCATTTATGTTATATGGTAAGTACAGAATTTATTAATAAAATAAACAATATTTTTTATCATCAATAGAAATGTTATTAAATCTTCCTTATCTATCCTGATATTCTGTTATTTATACACGTATTAATTAACTAGTTAGTATGTATAGAAATTTATTCATAAAATAAATAACACATGTTATCATCGATAAAATTCTCTATTAAATATTTTTATCTGTTTGCTATTCTGTTATTTATTCACGTATTTATTAACTAGTTGGTATGTATAGAATTTTATTCATAAAATAAACAACACATGTTATCATCAACAGAATTCTTTATTAAATATTCCTTATCTATTCTATTATTTTGTTATTCATTTATGCGTTAATTACCAGCGTGTAAGTATAAAATTTATTTATTATCAATAGAATTCTCTATTAAATAGTTTTTTTTTTGCTATTCTGTTTTTTATTCACGTATTACTTAACTAGTTGGTATGTATAGAATCTTATTCATAAACTAAACAATACATGTTATCATCAATAGAATTCTCTACTAAATACTTTTACCTATTTCGCTATTCTATTATTATTCACGTATTAATTAACAAGCTGGTATATATAGAATCTTATTCATAAAATAAATAATAAATGTTATCATCGATAGAGTTCTTTATTAAATATTTCTTATCTATTCGGTTATGCTGTTATTCATTTACACGCTAACTATAAGAGAGTGAGTATAAAATTTTATTCATAAAATAAACAGCACATGTTATCATAAATAGAATTCTCTATTAAATATTCTGTTATCTTTTTATTCACTTATGTGCTTATTAAACTAGGTGGTATGTATAGAATTTTATTTATAAAATAAATAACACATCCTATTAAATATTTTTATCAATTTTACTATTCTATTATTTTATTTATGTATTAATTAACTAGTTGGTATGTACAGAATTTTATTCATAAAATAAACAACACATATTATTTATCTTCAATAGAATTCTCCATTAAATATTTTATCTATTATGCTATTCTGTTATTTATTTACGAATTAATTAACTAGCTTGTATGTATAGAATTTTATTCATAAAATAAACAACACATTTTACCATCGATAAGATTCTCTATTAAATATTCCTTGTCTATTCTTGCCATTGCCATTCATTTATGTGTTAATTACCAGTGTGTAAGTATAGAATTTTGCGTTATTATCAATAGAATTCTCAATTAAATGTTTTTTTATCTATCCTGATATTCTGTTATTTATACACATATTAATTAACTAGTTAGTATGTATAGAAATTTATTCATAAAAAAACAACAAATGTTATTATCAATAGAATTCTCTATTAAATACTTTTATCTATTATGCTATTCTTTATATATTCACATATTAATTAACTAGTTGGTATGTATAGCATTTTATTCATAAAATAAATAACACATGTTATCATCAATAGATTTCTATTAAAAATATTCCTTACTATTTTGCTATTCTGTTATTTATTCACGTATTAATTAACTAGGTGGTATGTAAAGAATTTTATTCATAAAATAAACAATTATCAATAGAATTCTCTATTAAATATTTTTTTATTTTGTTATTTCATTATTTATTCACATTTTAATTAACTAGTTAGTATGTATAGAATTTTACTTATAAAATAACAACATATGTTATTATTAATAGAATTCACTATTAAATGTTTTATCTATTTTACTATTTTGTTATTTACATATTAATTAACTAGTTGGTATGTATAGAATTTTATTCATAAAATAAACAACACACGTTTTCATTAATAGAATTCTTATTTAAATATTTTTTTATCTACTTTGATATTCTGTTATTTATTTATATATTTTTAACTAGTTGGTATGCATAGAATTTTATTCATAAAATAAACAATATATGTTATCATTAATAGAATCTTCTATTAAGTATTTTTATTAATTTTACTATTTTTTATTAATTTATATATAAATTAACTAGTTGGTATATATAGAATCTTATTTATAAAATAAACAACACATGTTATCATCAATAAAATTTTTTATTAAAATATTTTTATCTATTTTGCTATTCTTTTATTTATTTACATATTAATTAACTAGCTGGTATATATAGAATTTTACTCATAAAATAAAAATACATGTTATCATCAATAGAATTCACTATTAATTATTTTTATCTATTTTGCTATTCTGTTATTTATTTATATATTATTAACTAGTTGGTATGTATAGAATTTTACTTATAAAATAAGTAATACATATTATT